GGCTTAATTATGTGTTTAATGAATATAAGAGGACATGCTACCTTTAAGCTGGCTATACATGTTGATGGTATTCCTAGGAATATTATTATATTAGAGATGGACTTGTATTATAGTATCCCTTTTGACTTTCCTGTAAATAGAATACACCACACTCTATGTATATATATATATATCTATAGAGACATGGTTAGGACCCCAGTAGACTTCACATATCTGTTTATATACCATAACCATGACCATCTTGGAAGATTGACCAAACTTACCGATGAGCGGGTCAAAGGAGTTGAGGTTGCGGCAGTCTCAGGAGATTTATATCTCGGATCATATGATAACCTCGACTTTGAGGATCTAGAGGAGATAAAGAGATGACATGAGGATGACTAGCGCCGGGTCCTTAGTATCAGGATATTTTGAGGCTGCTATGAGGCTTTATCTATTTTAGTTATATAATTATTATTTTGAGTCTACATATTTTCACAAACAATATGTAAATTCTTACAATTAATATATGTAATGTATGTTCAATATCTAAATTAGAACAATTTGTCTCTAGTTTATTATGATCATTAAATTTTACTGCTATTTAATTAATATTGCATGACTGACAAATTTTATGAAATAAATTGATTCACAAAAGATTTTAATTAACTGGTATTTATAGAGTTGATCACATATGAAAATTCTATTTTTCTGACTTTGTATAAATAAAACAAGTTGTTTTAAGAATTTAAAATTGAAAGATGTTACATATCTATTCTTCACAAGACATGCAAGGTGAACAAGGAGAAAAAGCTTTGCAATCAATTTCTTTTTACATAACAATAAGCCATGTAACTGAATTTCTAGCATGAATCCTATTCCATTTATTTATGGGTGTCTTTGTTGGATATCGTAAGAGTTGTTATCACAATAATAAAATTTTATCCTTTTATGAAATGTCACAATATCTAACTTCTCAACATGGTTGGGGTCATCATAGATATAATCAAAAGCAAATTTACATTTGTAATGAACAAAGACAACAACATAACAAGTATGTCAAGTGAGTTTACTAAAAATAGGGCTTATTATAACACCCAATGTGACATCTCGCAAATTGACAAGGATGTAAGCGATCATCGATACAAAAGAGGCATGAAGAAGGGAGCGACTCTTGGTAGGCTTCCCGCGGAAGGGACACATAAATAAATCAAATTTTTATCGAAATAAGAGGGACTTAAACTATATATATATATATATATATATACATGAGACTATATAGTTGATAATAACTTAAAGGAATTGATTTGTACTAGTTGCACCAACAAAATATATTTGCCTTTTGATAGCCTATCACTTAAGAACTCAAAGATTAAGCATGCTTGACTTGAAACAATTTTGGAATGGGTGACCTTTTGAGAAGTTCTTAGGAAGTGTGTGAGTGAGGGCAATATACACTTAAAAAGTCTTATGTTGGTTAGTGAGAAGCAAAGTCTCTCCTAGTACAGTGTGGTTTGAGGATAAATTGGGTGGAAGTTGGTGGATATGTGGCATCCTAATTACTGATGAAGACTATACAGTTAAGGATAACTTGTACTACTTATACCAATAAAATGAATTTACTTTTTTTATAGCCTATCACTCAAGAACTCAAAGGTTTAACGTGCTTGACTTAGAGCCTTCTCAAGAAGTGTGTGTGTGTCAGGAAAAGACATATTCAAAAGTGTTGATTTGTAGGAGCAATCATCAATATGAAATAGCAGCTGAGCGTTACAATCACAAATTAGAATTATCTTTAGTTAAGCTCTAGATACCATGTAAAAAGAATGAAAAACGTAGGATAAATTTTTGTGTTTTGACTACGTAATGGAACATATATTTATAATAAGAATCATTAATGCAAAATATATAATTACATAATTATTGTAATTATAAAGATACTAAATTTTCTATTTATCACGTTACTATAATTATTGAATTTCAATAATATTAAATTACCTTTTAGTATCTAACTATATAATTGGCCTCTAAATTTTTTTATTTAAATAATTTATATTTAATTATTTTATTTATTTTCCTAAGTTAAAATAAAAAAAAAAAATCTAAACATGTTGAAAGAAAAATCCTAAACAGAATATGAGACTTAAACCTATTATTAATGGTTTGAGAATTTCTTAAGTTTGAATTTATATTACTCTTAGAATTTAAGTACTTATATATTAAAGAAAATTAATTTCTACCAATTTTTCTCTATTAAAAAATTCTCCTCTCCACCCTAAGTTTTTGCCTAGTTTACTGTTCACCTATTCTTGAACCTTCAAAATTGTTTCTTACACTTGATTTAATATATATTTAGGTTGGGTTATGAAGGAAATATGAGATTTAATATACTACGGATGAGTTTGAAAAATGATTTAACATGATAACTTGATGATGTTTTTGTGTTCTTGTATTTCCTTTTCAAAATTTTGTTGAATTTTTCACCAAAAATAATTTTGTTTCACTCATAAAGGAATAATTTTAGCCACAAAAGGTGATGGTTTGAATTTTGACTATCTAATTAAATTGTAATTTTATGTCATATATATTTAAAATTTAATAAAATTTAATTTCAAAATTTTTACTTTATCTAAGATTTTGTTTGGAAGATTGGAAGAAGAGAAATGGAAAGAGTTTGAAGGGGAAAAAGGATTAAACTTCTCCCTTTGTTTGGATGAAATTATTACTCTTTATATCTTTTATTTATATTTTTTTTCAAAAGAACAAAGAAATTAAATATTTTTCTTTCTCTAAAAATATTTTTATTTTTATAATTTTTTTTAAAAAAATTAAAAACTAACATATTTTGAAAAACAATTAGAATCCTGATCATGAAATAGTACGAGAGACTAGGATGACAATAAGTAAGTCATAATGGATAGAGTATTTATCCGCTATACGAGTATGGGTGTGGATAAAAACTCACAAATTTTAATAGGGATGAGTGCGAATATGAGTATCTAAGTACTCATCCCGTCTCATACCCACATTATATATATATATATATATATATATATATATATATATATATAACTATATATTAAATTTTTATATTATTATATTACTTATGTGAAGTTATATAAGATTAATATAAAAATATATTTAATAATAAAGTAAATAAAAAAAAATATTTTGGTTTATATTTTTAATAGAAAAATTTATTTACTATTTTATATCATTTAATTAGGCTAATACAATTTAATTATTACATAGTCGATATAAGATTGACTTTTAAAAAAAATATTATTTATATATGACACACATAAAATATTTTTCAACATATTTTTGCTAATAAAATTATATTAATATTTAAATCATAAAGTGAATGATAAATAATAAATATATTGTAAATATTTTATAAATTTTATAATCACCTACTATTACCGCAAACTTATTATTTATTAATAATATTTAAATTTTATTTTTTATATTTTAATTTAAAATAATATTTCTCTATCTAACATATGTATTACAAGCACAACTATAATCTATTGAATCTAAATAATATTATTCTTACTATTTATTTATGTATAAGAAAAATTTTGAAAAGATATAAAATATAAAAAATTATTGTTAATTTTTATTTGTTAATTTTTTCTTCAGATAAAAAAGTATATATATATATATATATATATATATTTCTTTATTATAAAATTTTATTGCGACTATTTATCTTTTATTCAAATTTTTTCTTTTAAAATTTATATACATTATAAATATTTAATTCATTAAAATAATTTTTCAAAAATTTATATTTTTGACAAAATACTTTTGTATAGTATGAGTTAAAAATAATAGTATTAATATCTATATATATATATATATATATATATTAATTATATTATTTTAATTAAATCTATTATTTTTCTTACAATTTCAAATTTAAAAATTAAAAAAATATTTTATGTATCCACTTTTCGTTGTTAGTACTTGAAATTCTCTACCCTAACTCTATTCTCATTCTCAATGTTTATCTCGTTAAACCTTACAACTATGAAACATTGTTTATTAGAGTTAATTGTCAATGTCGCCATAAGAGGTCACCAAGTGATCCCACACGAAGGGTCACCAATTGTGCAGATCTATTTCGTTATCGCTTTGACGTTGCTGATCGAATATCACACAATATAGGGTTATCGCTGACAAATAACTTGTGTGTTTAGTTTCGCTTATTGTTTCTAAGAATTTTAGTTTAGAAAATTAATTAAGATACATTTAGCACTTGTAATATTTGAATATTTATTTATTTTATCTATGTTTGTACCTTGTTCGGCAACTACATATTAAATTTTTGTATTATTATGCTACTTATATGAAGTTATATAAATATATTTTTCTTTATAAATATTTTTTTTCAAACAAGCGCAAGTAATAGGTAAAAGATGGGTATGCGGATATGCAGAAGGTACAGGTACGGAGATTAATGTTCATATCTACACGAGTATGGGATTGGGTACATGTATTTTTTTAAAACGCAGGTATGTGAATGAGTATTATAGTACCCTACCCATTGACATCTCTAAGAGAAAGTGAGAGAAAAAAAAATCATTAGAATAAGATATTGGAGAGTTTAGAAAACTTCCTTAACCTTCACCCTCCTAATTAAGTAACTTTTAAATAAGGGATAAGTTTTAATAACTCTTTTTCTTTTCTCCTCTTCTCTTAAACATAACTCCCAAACATAGCCTAACTAAATTAAATAAGATTAAAAGTTTTAATTAGAGATTACATGTCATTGACAAATCACGTATAAAATTAGAAAAAAATTAATTAGTTATTAAAATAAAAGAATTAATAAATAATAATTTAAAATAAGTTCTAATTAGAGATAACAAATTTTTAAAAAAATTTAAAATTAATCAGTGTACTGTAAACAAAAATTTGAACATGATAGGATAAAACTGTGTTGAAGCAAAAAGAACACAAAACAAAACCAACCTGTACCGGGAATACAACAAGCCTTTCGAGTCCAAACACAGAAGAGTTGGCTTTGGCTTTACCTCTTTCGAATCGACATGAAAGCCCCTTCCACTATTTTCCTCAAAGGCAACCTTCCTTCTTCCGTTTTACTCCTAAGAACCTTCAAAGGTAAAACCATTCATTACACTTCCAACTTTCAACACTCTTCTTACTTTCTATCATTCCTTCTAATTTACATTAGAAACTTGAATTGGGCGCGTAATGCAGGAACACCCAATGTCAAAATTCACCCAATCATGTGCTTCTGTAAGGGTATCCAAACTGATTCATATGAAATTGCAAATGGAAGCTATCATCCCACTCTGCACCACACAAAGCAAAACAACACTGTGGTATCTAACTCCCACTTAATTGCGTCTTTCTGGTTGTTTAGAATAAAGATTTGCCATTGTTGCCTTTACCATTTGATATATTCTAATTGTAGGAAAAGCCTTCTAGAAAAATTGAATCTATTGGAGCGTTTCAGAAGTTGCCCATAGTGATGCCTTCTATTGACATTCTTGGCTCGGCACTGAGGAAGGCCAAGAGGATATCTCCAACGAAAGGTTCGCGGGTGACTGCAGTTATGTTCTCTGATTCCACGTTTACATGTGTGTTTGCATATTGAATTAATCCTCTGGTTGACGTTTACTTAGGAATTGCCAATATTGCAAAAAGGGAGAAAAACAAGGGTGCAAAGCAACTTGATGCATTGATGAAAGTATGTTCTTTATTTCTGAATGTGTTCTTCTTAGTGCTATAATGTATATTTCGGCATCTATTGTCCATTTTATATGAAAATGAATGTATCGAAAGTATAATGTACTGCTCTTGTTAGGAACTTACTGTTCCGTTGAGGACATATGTCGAGAATTTTCCTAATAAAGCATATCTTCATCCTTATGAGAGGTCTCTTATTGAGCTGACGCTTGGAGATGGATACTATGAACAGGTATGTTAGTAAAATTGCATTGCATCACTGAACATGTGTTTTTGGAATTCTGCTAGCGTGTTCTAGTAGTAATTACAGGACATAGATAGTCTTATGATTATTTATCATTTCCATTTTGAAAAGGCTGAATGAGTACATGTTTTTGGTTGATGGCTATACTCATATAAACTTGTTATTATGGGTATTTTCTAATTTTAGATTTAAAATTGTTTAACAGGTGCTACGAAAGGTAGATGGTTTAAGGAAGAGGGTAGTATCTGTTGGAAAGGAACATGCTTCATTTTGTGCTAAGGTTTATTTAGTAATTTTCATTTGATTTTGACCTATTTCTTGGCTGGTTGATTCTGAAGTTGTCCTGCTGCTTGAAAGTATTATTTGCACTTATATGTATGAACTTTTAGTAGCAAAGTTCTGAATACCTTGTGCTAGGTCTATACATTAATAGCAATTTGTTCTTTTTTGTAATGCACCATCAATCCGAAAAACTTGAGCTATTAGGTGAACACATGAATGGTTTTAGTTTTATTCTATATTTTCAACACACCCTCTCACGCAAGAACCCTTTGGGCTTGGAGCATGGACAGTGCATAGGCCTACCTGCCCAGTGCTAATAAATAAACTTTGTTTATTAGAAGCACCAGGGTAGTAAGGGTCGACCACTTGGTCTTAGAGGCTTTGGTACTGTACAATGTCATGAAAATTCAATCTCAAAAGCTTAAGCTATCTACTATTAGATGAAGATTGTTGCATGTATGAAATCTTCTTGTCTTTGCATTGATATGATTTTATGTTAAAGTATTTTTGAAGAAATTGTCATATGAATTGTATGGTCTCCATTGCTTTATCCCAAGGGCAAGAAGTATTGTCCATGTCAGTATTTGTAACATTCAGTTGGTTATTATTCTGAAATTGAATCCTTTTAGATTGAGTGTTCTGATGTCCCCTTACATAATCATCTTGTTACGTTGGTGATTTCTTTTGTCATCCTTTGCTTTCTTAATGTGATCAATTTCAGTTCATCTTGTAACACAGTCTTCGTCAAAGCGAGAAGCAGAGGAAAGACTGAATGAGGTGAGGTGCATATCTTTTGAGGAACCATATGCTTTCTAATTTCTCTGAAGATTTCACTATGTGGCATGATTTTATGCAGGGTCTTAAGAAAATTGAAGAGATTTTTGCCGAAGAACGGAAAGTTGTTGATGATTTGTTAGGCATAGCCAAGGTATTCTGCATTTCCAACATACGAAATCCTTCTTGGTCGCGTGTGTGTGTGTGTGTGTGTGTGTTTGCTTTTTGAAAACATAAATATCATTGTTCACAATTTGGGTGGCCTGTGAAGTTGAATTTATTTTCTTCAACAATGTGCATTCTAAGCTTAATTCATATCATCTAGCTCATAGTTATAAATTTTACAGACTCTAAGGGCAATGCCTGTAATTAGTTTGGAAACACCAACTCTCTGCCTTGTTGGAGCTCCTAATGTTGGAAAATCTTCTTTGGTCCATGTACTTTCTACTGGCAAGCCTGAGGTATGCAGCCAAATGTGTGAATATTTCTTTGTTGAAATCCTTCTTACATATGCTGTTTTAATTTTATTTTATTTTTTACAAAACTGAGCATGAATTGAATTATTGACCTTTCTAAGTAACCAGTCTGAGTTTCTAATAAATTCTACATTGCTGGCATCACTCTCGATTTCCTTCCTATGGGTTTTCTGAAAATATTTAATATGCATATGATGGTATAAATAAAGATACAATCACTTTGGCTAAAATTGCCACTGGGGTAATAAAATATATAATTATAACTGATTCTCTGTTATAATGTAAATATTTCTATTATGTTGCTTGGTTTATTTGTGCGTGCATCTCCAATGGTTCTATGCTGGTGGTTCAGGAATTCTTTAGTGCCTTATGTCATGATTATGGTAGTCAAAATCGTGTGCCGGAATGTAAAATCGCACGATTTTATGATCTCCAACCCCCTCTCCGTGCTAACTCGGTGCTAGGATCGTGAATTAGCAAGATCAAGTGGGATTGCCATGCCAGAATATAAAACCGGTAAACTCAGACAATCCCCCCATGTTTTTAAACCCAATATTTAACCTAATGACCTGCTTTGTGATCGAGTTTGCTTGAAACCCTCAAATTGATTTCATTCTGTGATTCCTAAACCTTTCCTCTGATCTATGACTTTGTTCCTCTACACTGCAATCCCTATAGCTTTCGCTCTAGTAACTGTGTCTGCTCTTATGTCTGTTCAGTGCAACCTTGTCTGCGCTGCCAACCTTGTCATAGCAGAGCATTTTGCTGTGGCGGCCATCGCATTTGTATTTGCAGCCAATCGCAGCCTAATTTGTAGTGCAACTGTTGTAAAAGTTGTCAACTTTCCCTTTCTATTCCTAAGCAGATTTTAGGATTTTTTAAGGGTAAAAAAGACTTCTTATTGTTTAAAAATAATTTGACTTTTTCTTTTTGCCCTTAAAATGATTCTGTTTTAAGTTTTTTAAGGGTAAAATAGTCTTTCCATCAGAATACATTACCTAATCCATCTTTTCCTTCTCCTCTTCTCTGTCTCTGTTTTTAGTGGGCATGTCCCTCTCTCTGTTTTGAGCTGAGGGTGGCTCCCTTCCCTCATTTGTCTTTGTTTAGCTTTCCTCATTTTTATATTTATACTATTTTACATGCATTTATTTTGTAGGATCTTACAATCCGCGTTACAATCCTACGAGTTATGATCTTTCGCCCCTTCTCCGATCCTACAAGAATCTTGATTTTGACTACCATGGTCATGATTGTAGTGTCTTTTCCTTCTCTTATTCATTTGTTCTTGAAAGAATGCTTTTTTAGAATATTAAAAAATAAATTAAGGAATATCCAGCTGGTGCATGTGTCATAAGCATGAGCTTGTGAAACATGTTTGTTACCCTTGGAGCCAAGGAGATTTTTAGCAAAGTGATCAGCCAGTTAATCATTGGAGCTCAGTGATTTCTCTTTAGAGAAAAAAGAGAAGCATATGTTGAAAATCATATGTCAATTCACACTTTAGACTGCTGAATATATGTTAATCTAATAATAAATACACGTCTTTATTTCCCTAGGTAATGTATTTACAATAAAACAGAACCTAACAAATCATATGTACAATGAACTAGATACCAAACTAAGCTAGATTAAGTCTAGCACATGTTTTGCTTCAGGCTTCTGCAAAACTTCTTAGTTGCTGAAGATTTAAAGATTCCACCATCCACTTGTTATCTCATCCTTCCTCATTTCCTTTCCACTTAACATTTCAGATTTGTAACTATCCCTTCACAACAAGAGGAATTCTTATGGGTCATATTATTTTAAACTATGAGAAATTTCAGGTTAGCAATTTTCTCTGACTTGTTATTTGCTTTTTAACAATTTTTTTATCATTTTTTAACCTCATATCACTCAGTTGTAATTGCTTACCTGGCATGGATGTAGGTAACAGATACTCCAGGCCTGCTGAAGAGGCATGACGGTAATTAACATTTCATTTGTTTTTCTCAATTTAAGTTGTATTTGTTTATCTTATTTGGTGAGGACTATATACCCAAGGTTTTCTTGTTGAATGTTGTTTTACTCCCTCATTGGTTTGAGAATTAAATTTTCTAAGAGGGGAGTAATATAGACCCATGTGGATAGCGATGTTCAGTTGCATTTTACCTTAGGTTTTTTAGCCCCTTCTGAGAATTTGCATTGCAACTTATTTGGTGCCCTTTGGGTGCTAAGCTAGCTGCTCCGAAGATCTGTATTGAAGGTTTGATGGCTGGTATAATTTTATTTACTATAAATCTTTATTTTTCTTGATTAAGGATTGTAGTTGCAATTTCAGGTAGAATATAAAGATTTGTGGGAGATATCTTGTGGTTTAGGGATGGTGGTAGCAAGAAGGATCACTTGTTTAGTTTGTAGAATTGTTGCACACCAGAGAGAGAGAGGATTTGTTCTCTGTAATTTGGTTTCTTAAAGCATTATTATACTATATAAATGGCTACAGTATTACACTTTGTTTGGCATAAGACAATTAAGAGTAATAATGGCTTGAGGGAAAAGATGGGGAACCTTGAAAGCATGCTGTCTTGGCTTGGGTTCTATTTGGATACAGTGACGTGCCAGAATATTTACACAGCATTTTATTTTACCTACTGATAAGCGTAGGCCACCTTTAATGAAAGTTTATCAGAGGAAGCGTAAGAATAGGACAGCTGTAGAGGATTTGAATTGTCAATCATAACTGTATTAGTTATAACTGTATTTTGTTTCATGCTTTATAAATAGTTAGTTAGAAAGGGTGGAAGGGATCTTTTGGAAAAAAATCGGAGATTGGAGGGAGAGGCTGGAACTCTCGAAATTCCAGTAGGAAGGTGTTGTACAGTTTCCTATTTTCTTCTCTGAACAAGAGAAGATCCAATAAAGAAATCTATTCTTTGTTCTGTACCTATCACCTACACATTATGGGAAACACTGGTTATTTCAGCTTTGGGTAGCAGTCAGATTTTTTTGGGGAATTTCTGTCATGCAAAGAAAGTGGGTTGCTTTTCTCAGCTGATATTCCCTTTTCCATTTTCTCATCTGAATTTGTAATTCTCTATGTATTAACATTTAACAATCATTTTATTATTATTATTATTGTTATAAGCAAATATAGAAATGAATTTCAATAGAAAAGGTAGGAGTCAGAACTGGAGTTCATGCAACTTGTTGAAAATTAGTAGGCCCCTTCCATGTTGGTATGAGTTGTTGGGGTTGGGGGATTTTAGATCTCCTGTACCTCAATTATTTCTAATAAACTGCATTGATTTCTTGTTCTTTTAACATATTTTAAACATAATACTCTTTTCCTCCTTTTTAATTTTTCTTTTCTGGTTTGGATATTTAGGGGACAGAAATAATTTGGAAAAGTTGACTCTCGCTGTCCTTTCACATCTTCCGACAGCAGTTTTGTATGTTCATGACCTTTCTGGGGAGTGTGGCACCTCACCTTCTGATCAGGTGTGCTTCTATGACAACTGAATATTAGAACTGAAATAAGAGTGAAATTGATCTCTCCTTTAACTGGCTATAAAAGTAGTTGTCTGGTTCTTTGTTCAAACTTGCAATGCAAGAAGACAGAATTTCATTCTCGTGGTTGAATAATTAGTGATAGCCTGCTACGAAGTGGTATTGAGTTATGTACTTGTCTACATTACAATGGCTTGTTCAGGCCTGTGGTTACCACCTTTTGGTTATCTACTTTGCAATTACTTCCATTGAAACCCATAAAAGGTACATGTGATGGCATTCAGAAATAAAGTAACAGAATTTTAGATGAGAAAGTGATGGGAATTGAATTGACTCAATTGAGGTGGATTCATGTTCTAGGCCCTTCTACATTGCCCTACCCTTTTGTTTTCTGCATACTACTGTAAAGGAAACAAGAGAAAGGTCCCTTGTTAATTACAAAAATGGATTCTCTTCCCTCAACTTTGATGCATAACATGAAATTCTGTTCCTTTTTATCCAGTTGAATAAAACAAGCTGATCCCTATCACAATCCTTTCAAATTGCGGGGAGAGATTATACTATATTGTATAGTTGGCATTGGACTGTCTGTAAAATATCACCTACCTATTGAAGAATTTTAGCAGAAAATATTTAGCATGTCATGCTTGTTACAAAGTGACTCAAAACTAAAGAGGGTGGTAAATTGAGTTTATAAAAATTTTCAGACTTTTTACATTTGAACTTACTGATCGAGTTTAAAGGACTGAATAGATAGATGATGAAGAGTACTTCTCACCTGGGTATACCAACACACACCCATGTTAATAGTATTTAAATTGCAATGTAATGTAAATAGGCCGTAAAAAGGATGAGATAGAGATAGAGAAATAGAAATGGAAACTGAGATTGATAATGATTCAGCCGCTTCTTGTTACCTTCATTTTGTCCCCCAAGCAATTTAACATTACCTTACTCTTCTACATGGATAACACTAGGAAGGAAAATTTTTTATCACAGCTCAACATGTGTTTGTTTTCTTGGACTGTTTTACATATGTTATGGACAGATATATAGTTGGGATAGAAACAAAGACTGTCAATGACAATGAGTAATAAATTATTTCAAAGAAGTAATTGATTATTGCAAGGACATTGAGGCTTTATATTTTTATCAGGATGTGAAATGACCAATCATAGCAGACATGCCAAAAAGCCATGGCATTGTTGTCAATTTGTGGTTCTTTGGTATATTTGGTTGGAAAGAAATGCTATTATTTTTTGTGCCAGCAGTCATCTTATGAGTTCATTTTGAGATCCAATAGTTTTTTGGTCATTTTTTTTGGGCTGAGGGGGAGGTGTCTTTGTTAGATCTAAAAAAGAGATTAGCATGTTGTGTTGCCTGATTCATGTTCTTAGTTCTCTCTTTCTCCTTTTGTTTCTGGTCATGATTTCTTTAGTTCTTGAGGAATGAGGATTTCTTATCCTCTTGCATATGTACTTTTCCCTTCTATCTTAATAAATTCTATTTATAAAAATAAGTACAAGATTTTTGGATCAAGTCAAATTATTTTCCCCTTTTAAAAGCAATTTGAGATATTCTAAGTAAAAGTATTTTTGGAGGAATAGAGTCACATAGACTGTGCATATGCAATTTCACAACTCTTTAAATTTTAAGTGCGATTACAGATATGAGCAACATAGAACTTACAAAGATTAAGGCAAATCTTACCTCACAAGCTAACTTTTAGGGTTGAGTTGGGAAAATTTAAGATTATGTTGAAGCTTATCATAGATTCGATATTAAACCAGCATTAATTGTCCAAAAATAACCTGGTCTCACAGATTACCTAGTCCTGTAGCTTTCCTAGTGCAATCTAGTTGGTCCTAGTTTCTACAGCTTTCCCAAAATCCGAATACAATATGTGTGTGTCACTGTCAGTCCTACAATTTTCATGCTCCAGATGTCCAATCGTTGGCATGAGAGTTGTGTGCTGAGATTCCACATCAACTACACATGACCAAAATAGAGCCTATAAAAGTTAAGACAATCCTCACTTAATGAGTTAGCTTTTGGGGTTAAATTAGGCCCAACACAAATTCAAGATTGAGCTTAAGCATAATCACATCACATATGTCACAAAGCATCAAAGTACTAATGATCTAAACCTTGAAGTCCTTGACTTATGCTTGTCATTTTCCTTGCTTGTTAGTTATTATCAAAACCTTGCTTCTATGTTGACTTGCATGCTACTTTCACCATGGTTGGAGGAGAGCATTTTTCCATGGTTTGAAATGTTTGTATTTCAAATTTTAATTCTAGGAGTATCCAATGCTGTGGGGTAGAGCTTTTTCCATTTTGATGAACCCCTAATAATCTCTACAAAATTGTTTTTTGGATGTTCTACTATTCATAGTTTTAGTTGAGGTTTTTCATCCCTTTCAAGAATCCTCCATTCGTTACTGTATCAAAGATCCTGTAGTTTTTCTAATTTGAAATATATATAGGGGATGTCTCTAGTGAATGATTAAGATTAAAACACGAATATTAACCATTGGATCATACCTAAATGGACTGGATGAAATCAGCCATGAACTCGATCTGCCATTGATGAAGAGAATCAGGTTGGCTAAAAAAGTTTTTTAACTTCAGTTATTTTGGAAGGTCAATCACTATGAGCTAGAAAAGCCCACTGTTTGAGGTTGATGAGCATCTGGCTTTTTGTCTGTTTTTTGTCCATTAAGTGCTACTTTATTCCATTCTTGCTTATAATAAACTGTTGTCAGTTGATTGAGGGAACATTAAACAGTTCAAATGGATGGTCCTAAGACAGTACTGATATCTACAAATTGTGATTGCTAGCTTATGGTTGTCTATGTGGAATTTTGTACAGTTAAACAGAAAAACCTACCTTCCCATAGGTTAATTGTAAAAAACTGGAAATTATCTATAAAGTTATTGTGACATTTTACAGACAGACAAAAGAAAGTTCCTTGCTTTTAACCTTTGGCTATTATCTTACTTTTGGGGGAAATCTGGATTGGAGATGGGGTATAAAAAATCTGAAAATAATTGTAATCGACAGTTTTGGTCTTTTGATAAGGCATTCAATTGATGGTGGTTGGTTATGCAGTTTTCAATATACAAAGAAATCAGAGAAAGGTTCACTGGACATTTGTGGCTTGATGTTGTGTCAAAATCAGATCTGTTGAAGATGTCTCCAGTGGTCTATGCAACAGAGGAACTTTATCCCACTCAATTTGAGCTCCAAAAATACCGGAAATCAGGTCCTGATGGAGCTATTAATGTATCTGTGAAAACACAAGAAGGGCTACATGAGGTGAGGAAATTCTGTTCTAATTTTTCACATTTTCATTAGAATCTAACAATGATAAATTCCTAAAAGTTTGTAGAATCATGGAAAGAATAAGCTATAACCCACTTTTTGCTAATAATCACAATTTTATGGATAGAATTGTTTGTAATGATAGCCATATTGGCACTCTTTATCCCCCACCCCATTTTTGGTGGAAGCACATGGTGCATCCTGTTGAGGCAACTGCTAATTTCTTTGGCATGATACAAGCCATTTTCCTCACATGGGCTTTCAACCCACTGCCTCAGCACATCACATTATATATAATTGTTTGAATAAAAGTTATAATGAATTTTAAAATAAGTTGCTGCGGTTCATTGAAAACCAAATTATAATTTTGAAGCTTTTAAAGAATTAAATTATGTAATTGGTGCTTGGTGATTAAAGACTTAAATTTTGTAACAACCCCATCAATATTAGTTGCTAATTTGTTTGTGTATGTAAAATACAAAACACCAACATCTATTTATACTAATAATTTGGTTAAGTATTAGCGTACTACTACCAATGCAAGCCCAAGCTCACTAATAGACTCCTAAATCCCTAATTAAATTGGGAAATAAATAGTAAACCTAATGAAATTAAGAAACAGCTAAGATTGTTTCCCCATTTTATTCAAAATATTCTATAAAATGATTAAGATATTATTTGATGTTTTAAAACTTAAGATAATAGGATTAAAATACACCTTTAGTTCCTAAAATTGACACTTATTTACAAATTGGTTTTGGGCCCAAAAAACTTACGTTTTAGTCTTTGTATAAATGTTTCGTTGTGTTTTAATAGTCATAATAACACCATTTGGAAAATGTTAACGTGGCTCAGTCATTGTAATTTAATAAATAGTAACTTTTACTAATGGTGTTGAAATGATAGGAACTAAAGTGTAATGAACCATTCATATAGGGACTAAGATGTAAGTTACTTTAGGAGAGACATTAGCGGCTGTTTGGTTTAAAAAATGTTTAGTTTTCATTCAATTTCCTATTTTCAAAGATTTGTACAAGAAACACTGAAAATAACTTTTTTCTGTTTTCGCAGTTTCATGTACAAATTTTAGGAAGCAGGAAATAGAATCAAAACAAGGTGAAAATTTTGTAATTAAAAGTGAAAACAAAATGAAAACAGAAAACGTTTCCATGAACCAAATAAGGCTCTTAATTTGTAAATGAATGTTAATTATAGGAAGCAAATTTGTATTTTAACCATATAAAAAATTGGTTTGCTCAAGGCAATTAGAGGTATGAAGATAGGATCATCTTACTTTCATAAACTTCAATTGAATAGATAGGTTAGGACGGATAAAATAGAAATATTTGAAAGGATTATCTTAGGTGTAGTACCATTGATTCTGCAGGTGTTATTCTTCAATTAGAATTAGAGTTTCACTTCAATAATATGCATAATAAAGGTCCGCATTAAAGGTTAACATACGAACATTAAAAATTATCACACGTTATCAAGGTAAAACTCTAGTAATATTAGAGAACACGACATCATTAGTACGTATAATACTGCATTTAAGTTTTGTCCAATTTAAAGAGGAGGAGGAGATGGGGTAAGGAACATAGTCCATATGGTCCAAAGCATGGGTATAATTTCAAGTTTTTTTTTTTTTTTTTTTTTTTTGCAAGAAAAACAAGATGCTGAGAGACATTTGATGCGCCAACTATATTGGAGCAACCTTACCTTATTTGTTAGATTTTTATTTATTTTACCTTTTTTTTTGTGCCCAAGTTTATTGACTAATAAGGGTTGTTGCTTTTCTTGTGTAGCTGAAGCATAGAGTGCATGGACTGCTTAATTTGCAGATGTCCAAGATAAAAAATATGAGCAACAACCAAGAGAAGTGAAAGGTCACAAAAGAAGGGCAAGGTGCCATTCTAAGGGTATATCTAATCTGTGAGGAAACTTCTTGGTCAAATAGGGAAGTTGAGATCTTCATGAATATCTTTGTAAATTAAGTCAGCAGCTCTTTGGCCAGCCTCCAAGCAGGAAAACAAGCAAAGGCTTTGTAGAGTAAATTGACGAGGAGACTGAGCATGTAAAACTTCCAGAAAGTGTTTGGCCACCTATTTGGCTTTGTTGAGGGGATCTTGTTTCCAACCGTATCGAACCTTCTGAAGAAACTAGAAATGCTTCCTTATTGGCTATCGTTCCAGGCATCTGGCCATGGTATTTAAATTTGTTGTCGTTGATTGTGACCATAATGTATCCATGTCCATTGTCAGAAGTCGTCTTAAATTGGTTAATAAAAGTATTATTATTAGTATTTCTTTTTTCATGTTTATGTTATGCTTTGTCAACGAAGATAGAAAATGTTTCCTTGTGCTGAATGTTAATCATGGTTAGAAAGAACTTACATTTTAAAGATAATTTATATCCATGGATATATATACGTATATCGTATGTATGTATGTATGATTGATACCTAATCAAGGAAAAGCAAAATACTAGTTTTAATTGGTCTTTTTATGTAAATAAATCAAATACCATTCTTGAAAGTAGCAGGTAGGATTTAGTTATGGGTTCATTCTAGTTTTAGATTAACTTCAATTTACTTGGAGATTTTTTTTGTTAGTTTAAAGTATTATAATATTTTTTTTCGACTATGAATATTTGAAGAATTATTTATATGTAAGAAATAAAGATATTGAAAATAAGAGAAAGGGATTGAATTTATTTTTAAAAGATTTTTTAAAACTTTAAAAGCAACTCCTTCAAAGCAAATGAGAGCAAAGTTAGAAAGATGAGTACATTGGATTTTATACTTGTATACTCTTAAGACAATGTTATGTTCAATCCTTGATTTTTAGCCAAGATATTTACTATATTAAATATTTAAGTATTTCTTTTTTTACATGAAGTGACTTCAATTTATAATAAATTCACCCAAAGTCTTGATACTTAAATTGTTTTCTAAATTGACTTTTAGATTATTTGAACCCAAAGTCTTCAGGTTTTTAGATTATTTTAAGATGCAAAATTATTTGCTTAAGTACTTCGAGTACCTTTTTTACATAAAGGTTGGAAGTTCCCAAGTACTTAGAATGGTTTTCTGCTTCTTTTATTTGCATTCATCCTTGGATTTCTTCTATCTCCTTGCTCATTTTCGACTAAAGCGAGCTGACTTATCTACATTGATAATTTGTCTTGAAGCTAATTGGTATTAATGAAGGATCAAACTCTAATATTACCTCTGCCTCTAAGCTACTAGCTTAAAAAAAAAATGTCAGCTATCCATCTAGACTTGGAGTAATTGAAAGTTTCATTTGACACAATTTTAAAAAGAAAATCTTTAATGAATTTCGTATCCATTTCTTTCCTCATGTCTTCTGCCACTCAAATTTTCGCCGTAGTAGCATACTCTAAATTAGAAAGGTTATAGAAAAAAAAAAGCTTTTAAAAGAATTTTAGTTATGACCTTGATAATGCCATGTTCTTCTGTACAGTTTTCCTTTTGTTTTCGTAAAATTTTTTAATAAAATATAATAATTTATCTGTTATAGATAAAATTATATAATAAAAATATTCTAACGTTATAATAAAGTAATTACAACAAAATATTATATATATAATAAAAATTTTATGAATTTAATACTTTTTTACTCTCTTATAGCAATAGTTTTAAAAAGTATATTATATGAACATACGATTTTCTTACAAGTGCACAAGTTGTTAAGTAGTAAAATATCATATCCATATAAACTATATTGTTAAGTGCCACGACTATAAACGATTCAATAATTTAACTGTTCCAATTGAGATTTTTAAAATAGAAAAAGTGAATAAATATTGCAATACAACAAATTGGAACGCAAACTTAAGGATCGACATGATTTATAATGCAAAAACTTGTAAGACTAAGGTTCTATCCAATTTGCATTGCCAAAACTAAAAAGATAATCACTCTTGTTGAGTTTTACAAGTTTGGAAAGTGAATCAACCTTAGCTAATTATTCATTTCTTTCAAGATACAATAATGTGCTTAATTAAACCAACCTATACTTTCGTTGCAATTGTATTTGACTAAAATAAATCAAAACTATTTTTGTGATTTTAAGGTAATTTTTAACACCGAAGTTTGTAAAATTGGTGGATTGTTTGATATTAAATAGTGTTAAAGTATGTTTGAAAATGATTTATAAGTGTTTTAATAAAAAAAATTTGTAGGAGATCTCGCTCAGGCGAGACAAGTCTCACTCAGACAAGACTGAGTACTCAGGACCACAAGATTTTAGGGCTTTCTCGCTCAAGCGAGAATGGAATAAACTCAGCTCAATTGTCATCTCGCTCAAGCGAAAATAGGCTCACTCAAGCGAGAATATTATAAAATAGTTAGAAAGACCACTGTCTGCATATCTCACTCATGCAAAATAGAGCTCACCCAAGTGAGGATACCATTGGTCAGGCGAGAGCACGCGAGAATCCAGGTGTATTTAAGGCATTTTAGACTTGAGACTTGCATTATAATCCAAAAAATACTTCCTAACTCTTTTCCTCTGAACTCTTTCTTCCCTTATTCAGATAAAAGTCTTAGAAACTCCAAAGTTACTCTAAATCTGAGCTTGAACCTCAACTCTACAGAATCATTGGAAGATCTTAGCCTGTTAGACCACTTTTTCCACTAGTTCTCTTCACAAAACTTATTCATTGAGGTAATGAGAGCTCTATTCCATTACTGAAAACATGATTTATTGTATTCGTATGAGTGTGGCTATGTGTCCTTGTTTGTGAATATATGTCTAAATAATTTTGCTGATAACATGATTTTTCTTGTCCTTAATGGATTGAAATGACATGTGAATTAGAAATAAATGTATGCATGAGATGAAAAAATTAGAAAGAGAAAAGGATGAATAATATGTTAGTATAAAGAAAATAAGTTCGGGCTATAATGACTAATGAGAGGAGTAGAGTCATAAAGAAAAACATAGAAGTAAGATGAGAAATTTGAAAAGTGAAATGGAATGAGAAGGGAAAATGATAAGGACAAGTATGGATAGTTGAGGGATACACAAGGAGTGTGGAAGATTGAGGCAATTTGAAAAATCTTGGAAAAATGAGGGTGGTGGATGCTCTTCTTGAATTGTGCATAACAACTGAGACTAAGAGCACTACAGGCCTTACACTTATTTTCTGACCATCTTTTTACTAAAAAGGGCCACGTTGTATCTATTTAATTGTGGCTATCTAACAATTATGTATATTAAGAAAGATCTCAAGGGATCCTAGGGGCAGTGAAAGTAAGAAATGAGAACTCCAAGAATCAGTAGAAAGGAAATGTGATAAATTGAATGATTGATACTTTTTGTATGAATATGGATATGATGGTATTGTGTGATTGATTAATATATTATCCTTGCTTGTATTGTTTAACTTAAATGTAAATTCATGTTTAGTAATGAAAAGAGACGCTCATCCTTATATAACCTTTCAAGGAGCAAAGATCACGGATCCCCCGGAACTTGTTAGTTTGTCCAAGTTACTTATCACTAGTAGAATAAATCATGTAGCTAGGGAGTGGCAGCGGTTATGCCATTGTAGTTTTATTATACGTAGTAATGATGGTTCGTGTATTACATTTACCTTAGAGATGACCATAGAATATGACGTACCTTTTGATTACCCTCACAGTGGTAGAATCCACCATACTATATGTGTAGTTATATACAGAGGTTTGACCAAGCCACTAAATGCATAGAACTATACTTTTCTAGGCCACAATCAGCATGGAAGACTAAGTCATTGCACCGTTGAGCAGATCACGGGTCCTAAACTGGTAGCTAACAAGGGTGACTTTGATGAAGACAAAGACTTATTCCCCAAAAAGATAGCAGAGATAGAGGGGTGATTTGGGAATAATGACTAGTAGTGTCTTCAGTCTCTTGGTGAATAGACTGCTCATTAGGACTTGTCATATTTATATTTTGAAAATGTTAAGCTCTTATAAATTTATGAGAACAATGTATATTAATGTTACTTTATTTTTTAATTAATTTGTTTAATCCCTATTACTTTATCATTTAAATTTTTATAGGTATGAGTAAATTAAATAAAATAGTTTATATTTCTGCGCTTTGTATTCTGCGAGCAAACAAATTTAAACTAATTTCCCTTATCGACTCCAAAATTATTCTCACTACTGTATTAAATAAATAAGGATGTTACAAAGTTTACATTTTGTACTTTCTTAATGTTTAAGATCATGCAAAAGCTATTTCTAGAAATAATTGCAAGCATTCAGAATTTCATAAATTGAATCAGAACTCATAAAACAAAAATTAATAATATAAATAAAAAGTTTAAATAATTATCATCTAGAAAAATTAGACTACTCCTAAATCCTAGGGTAAGGAAATCACTTGTTTATCTTCAACATAGAATCCATAAATATAATTTAAAACAAAGAACACATCACGAATAAAGGAAGAGAAAGAAAAAAGGAGAATAAAAATCTAGTTTCCATCATAAGAATCCAAGAGTTCTTTAGTTTTCTCCCCATCAGTCCATAGTATTTCTATTTATATTTAGAGCTTTAAGACTCTCTTTAGACCACTTAATCCATGTTCATGATGAGTATTATTAGTTGTTAGTAGAGCTTTCTAGAACTAAAATTATAAAATATGATGCTAACAACAAAATTCCCAAGTGTAATTAAGCACCAATTGCTACTAGTGGAACTCTCTAAATAGTAAATAATAATGAACTCCTACTATAAAATACTAATTTTTTTCTCATATAATAAATTCTACTATTTCTTATATTTTTAAAAATGAATTTCTTAAAATATTTAAGTTAACAAGTGAAAGATCAAGATGCTCTTAATTGATAGAACTTGGATAAAGGTTCCATCAAGTATTAATTAATAATATTAAGACTTAATTAATTTTAATTTAGATAAAGCTAGATAAATTAAGAAAGTTAGAACGAGAAATTGAAAAACCAAAAAAATTCATTTATTGAAGTGAAATTACCAAACTGCTCCTAAAATAGAAATGCTTTAAATACCCTTGGTTTGCTTGTAATTTTGAGCAACTTGGATGTTGATTTCTTAACAGAAAATGGCAGCACATTCCTACACTTTGATAGTCTAAATTGACAATCATAGATAGGATTTTAGATTAAAATATTAGAATAAGTAACAATTCCTTAAAGAATTAATTAAGTCTTAATAAAATCATTTATCATAAAGTTTAGTATTTTCTAATATACACACTTTCTCAATTTTAATAAAATCATTTATTTTAAAGTTTTTAGTACCTTTTAACACAT